GAGGAGGAGGAGGAGCCAGAGCCAACCGGAAAGGCATTCTACCAAATGTTGTCTTCGGCACAGAAGCTCCTACACGAGAAGGCAATGGTTTCTCAACTGGATGCCATTGGATGCCTAATGGGGTTGAAGTCCTAGTACAACATGAGTTGAGCCTGCTTCGATGGTATGTTGGCAGTTATTGGTGGGCTACTTCCGGAGGGTCATATTCTGTCGAGCAGCTTCTACGAGTCACAGAGACTCCTTCGTGCACTTAAGATGCCGTATGAGCAGATACATTGTTGTCCGAAGGGGTGCGTCCTATTTAGGAAAGATCACAAGGATGCAAAGTACTGTCCAAAGTGTAAATCCTCTAGGTATGTGGAGGTAGACAAAGGTGATGGCCAGAAGGAGTAGCTTGAGATCCCCATGAAAGTCATACCGAGGCTCCAACGGCTATTCATGACCGAGGAGTCTACGAAACAGATGACATGGCACAAGAATGGCATTCGATACAATCCTGACAAGATGGTACATCCAGCTGATGGTGAAGCATGGAAAAGCTTTAATCGCAAGCATCGTGACAAAGATCTTAAGGCCCATAATGTACGTGTTGCGCTAGCAACGGATGGGTTCAATCCTTATGGAATGATGTCGGCCCCATACACTTGTTGGCCCGTGTTCGCTATCCACCTCAATCTCCCCCCCGGGGTCCTCCTTCAACGGCAAAACATATTCTTGACGTTGATAATTCCTGGACACCCGGGAAACAAAATGGGTGTGTACATGGAGCCTGTTTATGATGAATTGATCAGTGCTTGGAATGAAGGGGTATGGACTTACGACCGAGCTACAAAGAAAAACTTCAAAATGTATGTTTGGTACCAGTACTCCAGTAAGTAACTTCATATGTTCTTCATTTTATATGTTGAAAAATCATAATAACAAGTAATAACTATTGTGGACCACTTGTGCAGGAACTGGGTGCTTGTGGACCAGGCGGCCCCGGCACGTAATGTGAATGGCATCCTGGGACTTCTATGCAAAGAACACTTCCCTGGCCTGGTTAGGAAAGGAGATCAGGATTGGGAGCCGGCCTGGACGTTCGACCACTATGCCCTCGTGCAGGATGCTCCAGATCATAATGGCATCCGCTGTAGAAACAAGGCAGATCGGGTGATTAGGGAGTTGTGGGTAAGTCTTTCTTGCACTACATTCCTCAATTCCTCGCATTCATTGGACATTCTTGAAATAAAATAATGGATACCTCGTGTCTTTATGCAGGACTTCTTAAAAATCCAGGAGGGACAGGAGGAAAGTGCGTATCAAGTGGCTTACGCTTCCTGTAAAAGGCATGTCACAGACTTGCACTATGAGTCCCGCATCCAAGCCCACATAGACTACAACGCCAAGTTCCTACTCAGGCGTGTCAACAAAGAGGAGGCAAGACGAATGACGCTGACAAGGGAGCAGTACATACAGGTAAATACAAAACATGAATATTTATTTCTTTTGAGATTAAGTATGCCTAATTTGATCTTCTGATATGTTGTCTACTTGATGTCCTGTAGGCGATTCCAAGCTGGTGCGCCACCCACCTCGATTGCTGGGAATATATTGTGGATACCTGGTTGGACGGGGACTGGCAGAAGAAGCACGAGGAGGCCCGCGACAGGCGTTTGCAGATGCCAGGTGTACATCACCATCAGGGCAGCCGCTCAGCAAATATGCAAAGGCATATGTAAGTCTCCGCCATTGCTCTAATCTAGCCGCGCTCAATTCTGCATCATTTCTAACCACATGTTGTTGTCTTTCTCGTAGTTGGATGCACACGGTGGCCAGACAGTTGGTCAACTCAAGGCATATGCTCTGGCTCACATGGGCAAGGCAACGGCCGACATCGAGTACGACCCAGATGCCCTGGTTGAGGCGTACACCAACTCCAGCGTCCACACCCACCTCTCTTCGTACACGGAGGCGGCAAGGTCAGTCCATGGATCTGGCTATGATTCGAGAACCGAGGAGCGCCTTGATCCTCAGCTCATGATGAGGGTGGGGGCAAGGCAAGAAGCATGGGCGGTTCTGGATTGGCGACGGCGTCCTCGACACGGCCTCTACTCATCCTCTCCACCAGCTCTGAGCATCAAGCACGAGCTCAAGCATGCCCATACGCCAACGGCCGACCGCGGTGTCGGCACTCCAGGCAAGCATTCCTGTTTCATTCATCGTTCTTTGACTTTTACATACCTTACCTATGCATTATTGAAATATTGGGGTCAAATGCTGCAGGCCCAGGTGCAGGAACTGCAGGCCGAGCAGGAGGTCGAGCGGCAAAGGCTATAGGCTTTGGAGGCCCAGCGGGAGCAAGATTAGTGGCAGATGCCCGAGATGATCAAGTTCATGCAGCAAATTGGCCAGCAACAAGGTTGGGCGATCCCACAGACGCTGCTTGCTCCAGATCCACCTCCACAACGTCCTGATTCTACCCCGGTGAGTATAAGTACGAAGTTTTACTTTCTATGCTGAAACTTAGAGAAACCTAGTGAAACCTAGAGAAACCTAGTGGTGGTGGTGGTGGTGGTGTGGTGTTGGTGGTGGTGGTCATGGTGTTGTGGTGCTCATGGTGGTGGTGGTGGTGTGGTGCTGGTGGTGGTCATGGTGGTGATGTGGTGGTGGTGGTGGTGTGGTGGAGGTGGTGGTGAAGTGTTGGTGGTGAAGTGTTGGTGATGGCGGTGATGTGGTGGTGGTGGTGGTGGTAGTGGCGGATATTTATCTTGCATATTTATCTCTTCTCTTGTCGTTCACGTGCAATCTCTTCTATTTTGTGCAGCATCAATCGGGGGCGGCGTCGAACCACCTCGGAGGGTCGCCGGGATCGCACGTTTGGCCATCCCAACCTAGACCGTCGCCATGAGCTTCAAATGGCAGTCGTTGTGATATAATGCACTTGTGAACTTTGTGAACTATGCTTGTGTGTTTGGACTTTGGACTTGGGAGTCGAGATTGTGATACTTGTATGCTATGTTTGTGTTTGTGGTGGATTGTGATATACATTTGTGTAATATATAGTTGTGTTATATATATATGATGTATATCTTGTTTGCAACGATGGAAGACTAAAAACAAAAAAATTGAATTTTTTCACTTCTTTGTCGAGTGTCATGACCATGACACTCGGCAAAGCTGGGAATCTGGGACACTAACCTTCCTAGCTTTGCCGAGTGCCATGGGCAAGACACTCGACAAAGAAAATTGCTTTGCCGAGTGCCTAAATACAGCACTCGGCAAAGAAAATCCAAAAACAAAAAAGAAAACAAGCTTTGCCGAGTGCCATATGCAGGCACTCGGCAAAGCATTTTTAAAAAAAAATAAAAAACACATTTCTTTGCCGAGTGTCGACGTGTGGCACTCGGCAAAGGGCCGTCATCGTGGCCTGGCCGTCACGGCGGCTTTTCTTTGCCGAGTGCTGTCGTGGCACTCGGGAAATCCTTTGTCGAGTGCCCGACATGCAGCACTCGGCAAAGAAGCCTTTGCCGTGAAGGGATATGCCGACGGCTCTTTGCCAAGTGCAGCACTCGGCAAAGGCTTTGCCGAGTGCAAAGCCTTCTTTGCCGAGTGCAATTGCACTCGGCAAAGCACGCGTCTGCTGTAGTGTTCGGAAGAGCCTCACAGGAGGAGCGCCGCCAAAGATCCCCAAAATGTCTATGGTAGTGTCTATAAATGACAATGAATAGTAGTGCAAATATCAATCGACCAAACTGTCTATGCCAATGTGCAAAAATGGTGGCCAGGTCTCCTCGCACCCTGCTATACAAGTAGAAGTACAAAAACTGCCCAAATGGCGTCCATTTCTCTTCTATAAGGCACCCACAATGCTTACCTCTTAAGCTGGCTCTAACAATTTTCTCATATTTTAATACAAGAGAGAGAAAAGTTAGCTCTTGATCAAGAGCTAAGCTCTTGCACACATTTCAAGGTTGTGTGAGAGTGTCATGTAAGATTATCCATATTAAAAGTTATGTGGTAAAAGTTAACACTATTGAAAAAGTTGCTTTAGAGCTAGTAGCTGACTCTAACTATTGCGGGTGCCCTAAGGGCAGTCCCAATGGTGTATTGATGATGGTTTCTATCCTCATTAAATGACTTGCCACGTAGGCAAAATACTGACATGGCAACGTAGTTAATGAAGAAAGAGAGCAAAAATCATAGAAATGGTTTCCTCGTGAAGAAATCAGGTCTTCTCTTGACCCAATGCACCAAGAAACCATGAAATCGCTATTGGGGAGAAACCACCAGTTTTCAGGGGGCTCATGCCACACTCCCATTGGAGGAAGAAGATAGAGTTGGGAGAGAGAAAGAGAAAATAATTATTACACAAAGACACCTCAACTGTAGAAGGTAGTTTCTATAGATGATTTCTTGTGCTATGGAAACCACATCAGTTTCTTCCATTGGGACTGCTCTTACCACTCACGACTCCTCCTATCCCAGGCTGAATTAATGCATGGCTGCCATCTTGTTGAGTCCGTTTTGTTTCTTCCTCCAGGTCCGTTTCCCATCTAGGAGCCTCCACATGCAACGGCGTTATCATCCGTTTACATGGGAAAACGAACCGACGCTGAGGATTAATGGAAGCATGGTGATTAAATGAAAATGGAGACGCTTGAAGTTCTCCGTGGTCACCGTGCCCGACGTTTCAGACTTTTGGCGGAGGGAGTGTCGTATTGCCTTCTCTGCAGCGAGACACTGACAGGTGTGTCTCATTGCAATGAGACCCACGCCTGTCAGTGACAATCTATGTGCTGAAGTTTTTACTTTGTATCAGTGTGATCCGTTGTTTGTGAAAATGAAGAGAGCAGATGGACAGCTCGGCCTCCGCTACACTGAGTGGTGGCCTTGGCCCTATAAATAGCTGCGCCATGGCTGTTATTTCTCACATCAGTAGACGCAGCACAAACTTGGGCTAATCTAATCAGTGGTACTGCGTGTAGCTGGCCATCAGCCAGCACCTTCTTCGTTCTCCCATGGCCACCACTAATTCTTGCATCCTCCAATTCACCCCTTCCTATTATGCAGCCACACAGGGCAATGAGTTCAACTTCAGTGGCCTGTACCTGTACCACACGTACAAAGGCTCTAACGCCAACCAGGTGGAAATCATACCAAGACACCAGTTTGGCACATTGACCGTTAACAACTGGGTTATTCGTGATGGGCTCTCAGGTTCTGCCAAAGTCATTGCGCGTGCCCAGGCCTGCATGTCAATGCCAGTGACTGGCGTAGCTCCTTCAGCCTAGTTTTCGAGGAGAGGATCAAGGGTACGTATACTGAATCTCGTGCATAACATATATATATATATATACACACACACACATAGCTCTCGGACTCTGAGTTCGTGAAAGAAGTTTCTGGAACTTTTGCCGTGCATGCAGGGAAGTAGTCAATGTCATAAACTCAATTAAGCTTGTCACCAACGTGAAGACGTACGTGTTAGGTGCATAACAGGATCACTGGCTATAGATCTAGCATATATGCTGACATTTGAATGAATAGCAAACTCTAGAACATGATCTAATGCGAACAAAACAGAGAGAGAGGGATGCGGGTGGTAAACGATCGGCCGTCTTCACAAAAGACGAGCTGGCCATCGCGGTGCTCGGTGGAGGCATGGCGGCGAAAGGCGGTGGTGCAGTGGTGGCGTTGGCAAGTGGCGGTGCTTCCCGTTCCCCTCGCTTAGATCGGCTTAGGGTTAGAGGTGTAGGTGGGGTGTCTAGCGGTGCAGGTAATTCTTGTGCCTTGTGCACTAGCCCCCACCTCCTTTTTTATGGCGTTGTGTGATGGAGGCCCACTAACCATAGTTAAGGTTGACGCCCCCGATTAGGGCGTGGATCAAGGCCCAATTCGGCCAATTGGTGAGATCAATCTAACATTTATCCTTGATCTTACCTTATGACTTAAACTTAACTTACTTACTTTATCTTGTTCTCATTTCATCACAGATCGGTGAATAGAGCATGCCTCATCGTCACGGTCAGTTGCCATTAGATTAAACAGCTACAATGCACCTCTCTATTTTGAAACAGATTCTCAACTAGGCTCTTATTGTCCAGGAATCATAGACTTTATGTCAATGTGTTTGGCAACATAATACTTTATGTCAATATATTTGGTAGCACCACTTGACTTATTGTTGTGAGTATAACATACTGCTGGATTATTATCGCAGTATAATTTGAGTGGCTTATGTATGTCGTCTACCACTTCCAACCCGGGCATAAATTTCTTCAACTAATTCACCCGCCATGTGGCATCATAACATGCTACAAACTCGGCATACATTGTGGATGATGTAGTGACGGTTTGCTTTGAGCTTTTCCACGATATAGCTCCTCCTACGAGAGTGAATATGTATTCGGACGTGGACGTTCTGTCATCTCCCGTATAATTAGAATCTGTATACCCCTCTATGTGTAGGGAATCAGATCTTCTGTACGTTAGCATGAGACCCTTCGAACCTTGCAGGTAACACAAAACTTTCTTTACTAATTTCCAGTGTTCTATTCTTGGATTACTCTGATATCTGTCAAGTAATCCGATAACAAATGTTAAGTCAGGGCGAGTACACACTTGAGCATACTGTAATCTTCCGATATCTAAACTATATGGAACTGCTTTCATTTGATCGATCTCATATTGGTTCCTGGGACATTGAAATTCCCCATATCTATGGGAGCAGATGAAGACTTACAATTTTGTATACTTTATTTCTTTAGAACTTTTTCTAAGTATGCCTTTTGTAATAATCCTAAAACCCCATTTTCTCTATCTCGGTGAATCTCTATTCCTAGGACGAACAAAGCTTCACCGAGATTCTTCATATCAAACTTCGAGGACAAGAACTTCTTTGTTTCTAGTAATAGATTAACATCACTATTAGCGAGCAAGATGTCATCCACATACAAGACTAGGAAAATGTATTTTCCATTCTTAAACTTTGCATAAACGCAATTGTCCTCTATATTTTCTTGAAACCCAAACTTTCTTATTGTACTATCAAACTTCAAATATCATTGTCTTGAAGTTTGTTTTAATCCGTAAATGGATTTCTTCAGACGGCATCCCATACGTTCTTTTCCTTCCACAATAAAATCTTTTGGTTGTGCCATGTAAATATTTTCCTCCAGATCCCCGTTTAGGAATACCGTCTTTACATCCATCTGATGTAATTCTAAATCATAATGTGCTACAATCGCCATTATGATTCTAAAAGAATCCTTACATGAGACTAGAGAAAATATCTCATTATAATATATACCTTCTCTTTGCGTGAAGCCTTTCGCCACAAGTCACGCTTTGAATCTTTCCATATTCTCTTTGGAGTCATGTTTGATTTTGTAGACCCATTTACAGCCTACTGTCTTAGCTCCTTTAGGAATTGTTTTTAAGTCCCAAACACCGTTGGTTTTTATTGATTTCATTTCATCTTCCATGGCTTCAAGCCACTTTGATGAGTGAGCGCTTCTCATGGCTTCTTCAAATGAGGTGGGATCACCCTCCATTTGAAATTCCTCACATTCATAAACTTCATAGTCTTCAGGAAAGGCTGATCTCCTAACTCTTTGAGACCTTCTAGGGGCCTCGTTAGATGACGCTTGTTCTATGTGAGGCTGTTGTTGCTCTTCCTCAAGTGTGACAACGGGTTCTATGGGATCCTGAATGACAGGTTCCTAATATTCATTCATTGTTGCCACAGGAGAGCTAACAATAGGTGATGTTACTATAGTGTCTTGCACTGTTGGTACAGCAACAACAGGTAGCGTGAAGAATGATTCCTGAACCATTAGAGTGGGCACATATACCTGCTTCTCTTTAAAATTAATTTCTCGCGCTACCATGCTTCCCCTTATCATATCATCCTCCAAGAACATAGCATGTCTTGTTTCTACAAACTTCGTTTGTTTGTCAGGACAATAGAAGCGATAACCTTTTGACTTTTCTAGATAGCCAATGAAATGACAACTGACTGTCTTGGAGTCTAGCTTCCCAATGTTTGGGTTAAAGACTTTGGCCTCAGCTGGACAACCCCACACACGTAAATAGTTAAGTGAGGGTTCCTTTCCTGCCCACAACTCATACAGTGTTTTGGGCACCGACTTGCTTGGCACTCGATTAAGAATATGAATGGTGGTTTTTAACACCTCCATCCATAAACTTATCGGTAGGGTAGAGTAACTTATCATGCTTCTCATCATATCCATTAAGGTACGGTTGCGTCTTTCGGCTATTCCATTCTGCTGAGGCTCGTCCAATGTAGAATACTAGGCAACTATGGCATTTTCCTGTAAGAACCTTGCAAAAGGTCCAGGAACTTGGCGATATGGGGTGTGTCGATCGTAGTACTCTCCCCCACGGTCAGATCTTACTACCTTAATCTTTAAGTTGTGCTGATTTTCTACTTCAGCCTTAAATATCTTAAATTTATCCAACGCTTCCGATCTTTCCTTAATTGGATAAATATAGCCAAAACGAGAATAATCATCTGTGAATGAATCATAACCATCCACACTTTTCATAAGAAAAAGACTACAGATGTCCGTGTGAACTATTTCTAAAATTGCTGAGCTTCGTTTGACATCTTTTTTTATTTTCTTAATGTACTTTCCTTTTATGCAATCAATGGATTGCTCTAAATCTGAAAATTCTAAAGACGGAAGAATTGATTTCTTAATCAATCGCTCTATTCTACCCCTCGAAATATGGCCTAAACGACAGTGCCATAATTTCGAAGATACATCATGCACTCTCTTCCGCTTATTTGTTGCATTCATAGATGAGGAAGCATTCTCATTCTCAGTACTCACAGTATTCACATTCTCAGAAAGTGATAATAGATAAAGCTTGTCTTGTCGGAAGGCAAGACCAAGACTCTTATTATTATACACAATCCAACATTTGCTATTACCAAAATGACAATCATAAACATCATCGTCAAGTCGTGAGACACTTATCAAGTTTCTACACAAAGAGGGTACATAAAGAATATCTGAAAGCTGAAGTCCAAAACCATCATCTAATTCTAGAGAGAGATCTCCAATGGCTTCAACTTCAGCTTCAACTCCATTTGCTATTTTAATTTTTCTTTCTCCTCTTTGTAGGGTCCTCGTATGGAATCCCTGTAATGAATTTGCAACATGAACAGTTGCACCTTAATCAATCCACCAAGTAGATTTTGCATAACTTAAATATAAGGACTCATCCATGAATGTAATGTAGTCATCACCTCTCTTTAAAAGGCTCTTCAGAAAGCCTAGACAGTCCCTCTGGTAATATCCATGCTTCTTGCATCATTTACACTGATTCTTTTCAACTTGGGCATTGTTGTTCTTTTGATGGTGCTCAGTCTAAAGGTCTTTTCTCTTGAGGTTTGGCATTCTTATTGAAATTCTTCTTCTTGTTGTCCTTCACAAGGTTAGCAGGGTCACCCTATGAGCTTTTCAGCCTCTCCTCTTCTTAAACACATATTGCAATGAGCTTCTCTATATCCCATTTATCGAGCTGCATGTTGTAGTTCACAACAAAAGTTTCATATGCTTTGGGCAAGGAAGCAAAAACCAAATGAATCAGGAACTCATACTTGAGCCCCAAATCCATTGATTTCAGCTTCAAAGCCGTGTTGCTCATCTTCAGTATGTGCTCTCTAATACTGCAACCAGTGTATTTCTCATTGAACAATTTCTTGATCAAAGTACTGGTATAAGCCTTCAAAGAGCCAGTGAACTGACTCTCTACTTTTTTAAGATACTCTGTAGCGGTATCATAATCTGGGATAGACTCCCTTATAGCATCTGAAAATTGTGGATTTAGCCACCATCAAGCACTTGCGGTTTGAAATGTCCCATTTCTTACGTTCGAGATCATATTTCATCTGCACTTCTGCATGATCTCGCTGCCGAGTAGTGAAATCAGCATCAGTCTCATTTTTTTCCCTTACCAGGTCCACTGGCTCAGTAGGACATGGGGAGGTAAGCACTAGGTTATTTTCGGACAGCGCAAGTGCTAGTTCATGTTTCTCTCGCCATACACTATAGTTGCCCCCTTCAAGAGATGGTATGTGCGAGATAAATGCCATTGGGTTGAGTCCTGGAAAACACCGTCAGAGATAGTGAGAAAATATGATATAATAATTGCATTCTTTAATTTAACGTTGGTCAAAATTAAACCATACAACATTCTTATACACTAATTCTTCATCATCATTGGACAAAAATAGAATTAATGCATGGAAAACTTATGAATA